CCTATCTATTCATGAACTATGATCATTTTAGTGTAAATATTGATAAACCGAAAAACTATATCATACCATTGAGAGATTAATAACTTAGCGATAGTTCAATGAATTCATGTGAAATTTTCAGGGCAAATAGCTACTAGGTAGGGCTGCAAAATGAGAGGTTGGCCGACTCAAAATATCTTACCATTCGCGAGTTATCAAGTTCATAATACATACCAATGACATTCATTAGAACTCCATTCTTACTCGAGCAAATGTGGTGTAGATGGTGCCGCTGACCTACATTCTTCATGGGCTGCCTGCACACCAATTTTCAGTTGCTCAGCTCTTGTATGGACTGAGATCCGAGGGGGGGGATACTTTTGTCAAGTAGTGTATGTTTATTTTCATAAAACATAATATATTCATATTGTCATAACTCATTAATAATATTTTGTTTTAAATATTTTCGAAATAATAAAACTGAGAACTATCATAACGAACAAAACAGAATATTTTGAATATGTCAAATGATGATGTATTTATTTTGGAGTATAATTGTTTTTGATATTGTGCCCATGAGCAATTTTCAATAACGTTTTTGCCAAGCGTTACGAAGTTTCATTTTTGTTTTCGAAAAAAGCAAATTCTTTGATACTTTTATTGTAGGTGAGGACCACTAGAATCTATTATCAGTAAAAGCTTCATTAGTTTGCTTTTAGTTCTATCTGAGCTATTCAAAAATCATCGGTCTTTACTGTTTTATTGGAACTGAGAATTTAGCATTTTACTACGAAATGAAGAAACATATAAATAAACTTTCTATATAACAGTTGTTCAATTTTTAGCAAGCTTTTGGAATATCAGGTCACTTCATAGCAAGTATAACGGCATCGAATAACAATCCTAAAGTCAAGATAGTTTTTGAGCGCAATATCTTGATTCATAGACGTCTAACATTTGTACGAAGATCATGTGTTGAAAAAATACTTCGTATTCTATCGATTAATATTTATTGAAAGAATTGTATTTTCTAATGATCGATACTTGTTGAACTATGTATTCCATGATCATCTTGTGCACAAGTTTTTGAGTTGACCATTATAAAAAAAGAATTGGATACTATTCAGGACCATTTCACATACTATCGATCGTACTCCTTTCAACGGTAGACTGAGCTTTCTTTACTTTTAAGCTTGATAATCTCTGAACAAGGACGAAATCACAAAAAATTATCAAAATTCATTTCATTGACAGTTTCACTGTGCATATAACATATTTTTATTTTCTTTAATATATCAGAATCTGCGTACGTAACAATATACATAATTTGAAAAACAAGATTTGATACGTACACTAGACTAAAAGATCTACCGTACACACAAAATAAGAAATATATAAAGAAAAAAGAAAACAAAACGACAACAAAACTTCAGTTATTTTCTTTTCAATAACAAGTGATTCGCACGTACAAACGTGACTAGTTATTAATTCTCAATAAGAATAATTTAACGAAAAGATTAATCTAATGCAATTAAATTTTCCGATAATTGACCATTTTTTTGTTTAAATGTTGATGCTTCTTTTAAACGTTGAAACCAAATATTTGCAATTGCTTCATTCTCAAATTTAAATTTATACATAGATCCTAAAAATAAATGAAATGAATATATTTTTCTTTTGAAGAAATAAACAAAATGTTTTACCTTTAGTCAAATCACTTAATTGAATTTCATTTCGATTTTTTCTTTGACTAAGTACAATAAGCCAATCTGTTATTGATTGACATTTTGATGGATTTTGTCGATAATATAAACGATCTGTTTCTGTTATTGTTATATTTATATTTGATAATGTTGATTGTATTATTGATAGATCATCATGATTTTTTATAGATGTTTGTCGATTTAAACGTATAGGTAATGTTATTAAAAATGATTTTTGTTTATGAAAAAAGATTAAATGTTCACATATAGCAACCCAATATTTTTTCCATTTTGATATATTGGGTTTTTTATAATTCTTTAAAAGACATTTACGTTCTAACGAACCTTGAAAATTATAATTTGATGGTATTAATGAATCATTATATGGATTTAATGGTTCTTTCATTGATAATGATGATAATGATAATGATAATGATATTCCTTGAATGATATGATGATGTTTATTATTAGTTTTAATATATTCTTTTGCTTTAAGAATATCTTCTTCACATGATTCATTACCTACAACAACAAACCAATTCATAAGAAGGTTAAAAATAAATATGAAATAATAAATACTTGAAATATTTAGTTTATAGTTGTTCTAAGTGATTTATTATAAAACATTAATGATGTGAAAAAGTCAATTGGATATAATAAAATTATATCAATGTAATAACCTTGCTTTCAGGTCAATAAATAGTTATGTCACTCACGTAAGACATGAGCAACAACATTGTGCTAGTGTCAAGTATTTAGTAAAATATATTGATCGAGTTTTTTAATTCGATTAGATTTTTGTATTTATACGAAAACAAGTGTCTAACATACAACTAACGAGGAAATATCACTAATTGATATCCTGTATTCTAGAGAAATAAGCATAATAAGTTTCTCTATAAATGACATAACTGTATTTTTTATTAGAAAAAAAATTTTCTATCTCAATAAAGGAACATTTCCATGAGTTGATTTTATTCTAAACTCATATTATGCATGATTAGATGTTATAGAAAAAGCAACTATATCTTAGTTAGTGTAAATGTTAGATTCTTTTCTTCAATTATGCCCATAGAATGAGTTTTAAAAATTTCAACTCGTGAGATAGTTTCCTAAGTATGAAATAGAGATAGACACACATTAATACAATTCTTTGCTGAATTGATATAGCTTAGATCAGTATATAGATATGTATAGTGAGAAAACCGAACAAAAAAAAATGTGATGAGTAGATTCGTGGTCATTGAAGAAAAACAGAATGTAAACAAACTAATTATATCCATTAAGTGTCAGAAAAGCATATTACGTAATGATCATTTATATCAAATTCAATACAATAGAAATATTTTCTTCTTACTATGATAGAAGTTCTGGGTCTTGTAGTATGTTCAAGTGACTAAATGTACTAGAGGAGTATTGTTTTAGATTCCTCTTTATTTTTTAACTCATGATAATCGAGAAAGTTTTCTAGAAAATCACGACAGTTAAAAGAATGCAAGTGCTCTTTTCAAAGTAAAAAAAAAATATATCAATTACTTCAACATCAAACTTCATTGATTTTGAACTCAGAACACTCAAAACAACAGATATTTTCGACTACATATTAAATTGTCACAAGAATTTCGATGCATTGTATAAATCTGTCAATCTGATGAAACGAGAAACAAATGTCTAAGATTGTTCGAGTCTACGATACCTGAATCTAGCATAGAATTTAGCCCAATCAAGTCTCGGAGCTTTGGATCCTATACGCTGTAAATTAATCTTTTGAGTACCACTGCTCGGCAATGATAGCTAGGAATTTCAACAAAATACAGCCTTGATTCTCCTCTATCTACGTTATGAATTTGAAATGTTAGCTACAAATAATTACTGAATTAAACTTGTTTCATAATCGAGAGTTATTCATGAAGTCAAGAAGACTTAACACTCACTAAAAACAAAGTCATTTCATTTCAATTTATTTTCCGTTCTTTTTTACTTCGCATACACTTGCAAACAAAATGGTATCGNTCAAAACAAGAGATATTTTCGACTGCATATTAAATTGTCACAAGAATTTCGATGCATTGTATAAATCTGTCAATCTGATGAAACGAGAAACAAATGTCTAAGACTGTTCGAGTCTACGATACCTGAATCTAGCATAGAATTTAGCCTAATCAAGTCTCGGAGCTTTGGATCCTATGCGCTGTGAATTAATCCTTTGAGTACCACTGCTCGGCAATGATAGCTAGGAATTTCAACAAAATACAGCTTTGATTCTCCTCTATCTACGTTATGAATTTGAAAATGTTAGCTACAAATAATTACTGAAATAAACTTGTTTCATAATCGAGAGTTATTCATGAAGTCAAGAAGACTTAACACTCACTAAAAACAAAGTTATTTCATTTCAATTTATTTTCCGTTCTTTTTTACTTCGCATACACTTGCAAACAAAATGGTATCGTCACATACTTTGACATCTTTTAATGCTCGCAAGGTATTCAAAAATTAAGAAACTTGAAAAAAGCCATACTTTATAAGGTAATTCAGTTATTTCAAGATCTGTAGTATCTATACACAAAAGATAGCATCGGTTTGGTTTAAATTTTGAGAAGCCTGACATCTCCTGCTATACACTCGAATGTTAAGGATTGAAATTAGTGAAGAGTAATTTAAAATAACTAAGTAAAGCGTGTAGATTGTGATTTATTACCTTTATACATTACTAGACCTATAAAAATTTTATTTCATATTTTTTTATAATTAAACGCCTATTTTAACTTACTAGATGAAGCTTCTTCAGTTACGGGATCCCCAAGTACACTATCATCTAATAAACTTTTATTTTCATTTGTTCGACAAGGTAATGTTGCAGATTTACTGGAAGATAACAAATAATTTGAACTAAAAAAAAGCAATCTTAATTCAAAATCTTATTTATATTTAAAAAATTTTCTTTTACTTATTAAAATCACTTAATGTTCGTCTATGCGAAGATATTGAAGGTGTATCAACATGTACAATTTTAAATGAAGCTGATTTTTCTAAATTTTTCTGTAATTTTTCACAACATGAATCATTTTGATCATCTGGTTCAATGATTAATGATTGTTTAAAATTTTGATCTTCAACAAATGTTTGTAATTCTTCCATATATCGTACAGATGCAAGATAATTTTGTACACATTCAATTGGTTTAAGAAATTCTATGAAATGAAATTTGCTTGTCTTCATTTAGTTAAAGATTAAAAAAAACACAACAAACCATAAGTTGATTGTTGAAATTCTGATATGATTCGACAAATATTATTCATAGCATTTTTACGTTGATTTGTTTCAAGTCCACCTCGATGTGGATGAAGTGTATCAATACGAATTATATCCGTTAAATAAATACCTTTAATTATATTGAAAATTCTGAGATAAAATAAAAAGAACATTTATTCTTGATTTTCTTACCAAGATATGGTATACATGGTAACTTTGTATTACTTAAATGATGTCTTAATCGTTTCCAATTTTCATTTGATGATACAAATTCTTTTAAATTTGAAAATGTTGTACGATCACGTTTACTAAGACCCTGAAAAACAAAACAATAAACAAAACAATAAGGGTTTTATTTCATGTTAAGTTGCAATTAATTACCATCCAAGTTTTTTGTAATCGATAAATTGGTGCACTTTGTAAAGCCATAACAACAGCCATACATCCATTAATATTATTGAAATCAAAAAGTTTCTTGAAATATAAAAATTTTGTCTATTATAATAAAATAAAATAAGAAATATATTTTGTTTTTACTTTAGCAATTCGAATAAAATGTGATAAAATTTCAATACGATTTTTAAGTATATCAGCACGTAATAATTCACCTTGAGTCCAAAAATTTACCTGTTTTTTGTTTTAAAGATTAAAAAGAAAACAAACGAATAAAAGATAAGATTTATGTTTTTGAACTAAATACTTGATTGAAACGACGAGTAAATTGAACTATATGAAAAGCTTTTTCTAGTTTCGATTTTGAACTCCAACTACAACTGATTAATTCCTATAAAAAATAAAATATGATTTTGTTGTTTTATAAATTAAACAATGTACGTCTGGAATTATTGATTTGAATACTGGTAGATCCATTAATGTAATTTGTGACTACAAATGAAAAGAATAATATTATTTTATTTCTGTTCAATGAACTTTATCGATTAATTAGCAGATTCTTTTCAAGCCCTAAGGGATAGCAATCAAAAAAATTTTCTTTATCTTTATCTCTTTCTCATTTGCATATCGTCTTAGTTTAGTTGTTATCAATCGTTCACATACATGTATTGTCTATATACCAAACTTATCTTTCAAACATAAATACACATGACATATAGTGTTGGTGTTCAACGATCGAGATAACACAACACAGAAAAGGGATTATGTATGTTCTAAAGTTTGCTCAATCAATCGTCTGTCAACAATACAAGAAAAGAAAAAGCTTTTACGTCTTATGTTTATCGATTTCGTTAAATACGATAAGTCACTTACAGCAAAATCTTCTGGATCAACTTTTAGTACATCAAATAAAGCTGTATCATAAACAGCATAATGTAATGAACCATTTATAATATCATCATTATGAAATGATAAATCATTCAATAATAAACTATTATTATTATTATTATTACTATTATAATTATCAATTTCTTCAGTTAGAATTGAATGAGCAACGTTACTTGTATTCAGCATTATAATATTATTAATTAACTAAAAAGAGAAAGGTGATCTAAATGAATATAAAAAAAACAAAATATAAAATCATTGAATTATAATCATAATCATTAATATTGCCTTTAGCATAGGTCATATATATTAAACTTACTCTATGTGATCTGTTCCTCTCTTTGTAGTGGTAGTAGTGTATTAGTTGTTGTAACTGCTCTACAATTATTTTTCTTTCGTTTCTTTTTCTCGCCGTCTTCTTTTTTTTCTCTTCTCTTTCTCTCTTGTCTTCTTTTCTATTCACAATTCTGTACAGATGTTGTTGATGAACATACGGTAGACTTCTGTTATGTTGACCCTCACCAATCATTTAATCGCTCGTTCTTCTTTTTTTTTGTGATAATATAGACCTATTCTATAATTCTCAAATTTCAAGGGGACAACACGAGAAAAAAAGGAGAGCGAGAGAGAAACATTAATGATCAAATTACATATAGTAAAAAGAGAGAGAAACATACATGAATTTTGTATTTTGATAATTAGAAAAACATATCCTTGTACTTTTTTTTTGATAATATGTAAAAAGGCATCCATATATCTTCTTATCTCTTTTTCTACGTTCTTTTTTATATCGTTCTTGGATAAGTAAATCTTCAAGTAATAATAACAACAAAGATACACAGATAAGTAAAGTACTATCAAACATCAACGATCAAGGTATTCACCTTTATAACCATATACATATTTTATTTAATGTCAAGGCTAGTTTCTTGTCTACATATCGACAGTGTGAATAAAATCAATGAACTCTTAAATTGATATATCAAATGTGACATGCTACACACGTGAATGCACACTGATATACATCTGAATACATTGAAAATGGACCGACGGACAGACAAAGAACAAATAGAGATAATGGGTTATTCTTTAAGACTAATTGGTGAATGAACGATGAGCAGACAGATAAACATAACATATACTATTATTGACTTGCTTTTATATTCAATCAAGGATATATATATATGTATATACAAAACAGTAGCTTACTTGACATGTAGAAATATGAATTATGTTGACAATATAGAACATAAACAAGCATCTAAAAACAGTGAAGACAAAAGAAGCAACCAGTCATTTTGCTCGATGAAATTCACATTGTAGTCACATCTGTTCTGTCCGTATTCATTTTTTCTTCTTCACGTTTTTGACCATTTATAAATGGATGAGAACAAGCAACTGCTTTCAAGTGTCTCGCACTTCTTTTCTTTGTTGTTAAACATAAGCGTAAAGGCGATTTTATATATTAGGTCAAATGAAGACAAAAAGCTGACGAAGAACAAGGTAAATGACGATGACGTCATAAGAAAAAGTGCGATGATCGACAGGCGCGTAGGTTTATTTTATTTACCTGAGGTTCATCGATCAGTCGCCTAATCAATCTATCTATTTACATATATATATATACATAGATTTATCAACATAGGTGAAAGACAAAAATATTTGTACGAACTCTCGTTACTTTCGTTTCTAATAGGAAATAAGAAAGAAAAAAAAAGAGATCAAGTGTATGCACGTGCATATGATAGATGAACTTATTTGATATGAATAGCCTTTTTTACAATCGTACTATTTCAATAAATTGAATTGAACTTTGGTCACCATATTAATGGTTTCAATTGGTATGGAAAAAACTATAATCATTATTCAAAAAGAAACCAACAAAATCTACATTTTCTCATGAAACTATAGATTATCATTGATTATGTTTTATATAAAATAGAAAAACAATTTATTGTGCTGATGTACTTGTACAAGCTTGTATACTCTGATTTGAATATGTAATCCAAAAGACAACAGTATTTGTTTGACACAAAACTTGATTTTATCTTGTCTCACATTGATACAAATAATGGATAAAGAAAGAAAGAAAGAGTTAATATGGAAGTTGATTTAATGAAATGATACTTCTATACTGTAGAAGCATTTCTCTGGTAGAACTTATTTACATAGATACAGACTGGTGTATTTGACTCGTATCAAATTAAACTTCTGTTATAATCTGTTCGATCAAGTTTCACAGTAATGGCGTAACCAGGATTCAGACAGTGGGGCGAAAGCGACTCGGCTATCTTAAATTACGTCACTACGCAGAAGTTAAACTTAGGCAGAATTCGACTTTTTTAATTTTTTTCAACTAGACAGAGTATTCATTTTCACTTTGTCGAATTGTAATGTAAATAGTACTCAAAAAGCATAAGCACGCCTAGTCAAGAAAACTCGAGAAAATGGTAAGCACATGGAAGCAGGAATTCGGTGATCGGTTCTGCACGGATACGGTTATCGAAATAATTGACCTGCATTAAAGATCCTTTTTTTATGATCGAACTTTGCTAATATCAAACTAAACTGAAATTATTAAATCTTTCAAAATCTGCTCATACGGCATGCAAACATGACCACTAGATGTCGTTAGTTCTCATATAATTTTATTCTAAAATAAACAAATGAAATAAAATCAAAATGAAAAGCATAAAAACTATTAAAATAAAATAATTATTTTTTCATTATTATTTCTTATTATTTATTCAATTCATTAATGCATTTTGTTATAAAATTACACATCTGACATTCTTTGTTTTCCTCTAAATTGTTCATCAGAAATGGCTGCTAGTCATAAGAATGAAAAAAAAAAGAACATCTCATCATCTCCTTTTTATTGTCATTTTGTTATAGATCTTGTTCCTTTTTTTTTGTATAAAGTCACAAACACAACCATTCTCTAAAGTGTCTGTGACAATGAGTAACGAGAGCCATCCATCTCCGACAGGCTCGTCGTCATCTACATTATTCGGTAAGAACGTTGTTTTTTTCTTTGATCGTAGATTGTCGGCATCAATAGAAAAAAATTAGATTTCTTTTTTTTTGGCACTTTGCTTGCTTATCTAATTCGTGAAGCACATGACGTTCTTCTTCTTGTTTATCTAAAACTAGGCGGTGGAGGTAGTGCTGGTGGTAATGAACCATTAACTCAACCATCACCAGCTAAACCAACATGGGCACAAATTCTCAATTCAAATCCAAATGCACCGTCCAATACATCATCATCGACGACAACTGGCAATAATAATAATAATCCTGGGGGACATAATTCACCAGCATCATCATCACCAGCATCTTCTCAACATTCAACAACAACAAAAACAATTTCACCATCAGCAAGTGGCACAATAAATACAACTGGATCACGTAGTGGTTTTATGTCTAATTTTTATGATCAAACACAATCTCAAATGAATTGGCCTTTAAATTTTAATCAAACATCATCATGGATGATTAATGATGATAATAATTCACAAAAACAACCACCAAAATCATTACAACAATCAAATGACAATACGCAAAGCGGTGGTGATGGTATGATCATTTGTTTTTTTTTTCGTTAATGCTTATTATGCTTATTTTTATCATTTAAAATTGTTTTTGTTTTTTTTTTGTTCATTTATGATTTTTTTTCTATTTGCTTTAGGCTTTGAACGGCTTGAATCATCGAGTCCAACCGCAGGTTGGAATAAGCCGGTGGCAACAAATAATTCAACTGCTAATGGTTGGTCAAATTTTCAACAACAACAACAAACACTTAATAATCCGTCCAGATCAAATCCAAATAGCAATCAATGGCCAGAAATGAACAATTTCTATGGAACTAATACATCAAACAATTCATTTAGTTTACCACAACAGAATAACGACAATAATAGGTAAACTAAACATACATAAGCATATTTGTTCATTACCTTTAGTGCATGTTTGTTCGTACTACCGTCAGTACTCGTAAGAATCGATGATACACTGGCAGGAAATCATCGGTCAAACAATAACTACTAGTATTCCGCTGTAGAAGAAGGATAGTCTCTAAAGCACACATTATACTGAATAGATTAAATTTTTATTGTTTATTGAAAGTTTCCGTCATGGTTGAGTGACTATGTTGTTTGATACGTATTTATATTGTGTGCAAACTTGAGCATCGCGAGCGATGAAGAGACACACGACAAGTTACCAACAACTATTTGTCTCAGATCATCCGTATTCTTGTGCTTAGTTAGTGTGTATGACGAAGCATAAGAACTGTGCGTCATGCTGATCTTTAGTTCAGAGATGCAGCTAGTCTAGGCAATCGAAAGATTGATGTATTAATCTCTTTTATTGTTGTTGAAAATTATTGTGAAACTTTTCCCGCTTAATATCTAAGTAATAGTTTCATGGTAAGCAATTAGTTAGGGATCGTTTTATTCAATGAAACACTCTGAAAGATATGTCGATATAGAGGTTGTATTAAGGTTTATATAATTCTAATTGTTAAAGAAAATAGAATTTGTTTCATTTCTTTTTAATGTAATATGAATTAAGACGTGTCTCAGATGATTCCATTGCAAAAATTCATTCCTAATTAACTAATTGTTAACTACTTCGATGATACAACGGTCTAAATTTTGCAATAAATCTTTTGATGTATCTATTATGATATGATTTATAGAACCAATGAATGCAATAACTATTGTTGATTGCTAATCAGTCTTGTTTTCGTATCCTAACAAATAATCATCGCTTAACTAGATTCAATTATTTGAGTTAGATGTGTTGAATTATGGTGAAGATATTTTTCAGTAGTTTGAATTAAAATAAGTATCAGAAAACCAACAAAATCAAAAAACAAAACTCGAAATCACACGATATGATTTTGGTTTTGTTATGTATTGTTTGTCAGAAGCCTTAAAACCTCAAATTCAAATAGTTGAACTTCAAGAAGCGCGCAACATTGAAAAACAAACCGTTGCAAAGACATAATATATGCTCAGATATATAGGCTGAACGAGCAAACATGTTTGCACAAAATACACAGTTAAACAACAGTTTCATATTGAAGTTTATGAAGCGGCATGTAAATCTTTTAATTTCATTATCCAGATATGTTTTTTTTGTCTTTCTGAATACTTGTATGACATCATTTTTTTGAAAAATTA